CTGGAGTGAATGGCGCGATCTCGGCTCACCGCAACCTCCGCCTCCTGGGTTCAGGCAATTCTCTGCCTCAGCCTCCTGAGTAGCTGGGATTACAGGCACGCACCACCATGCCCAGCTAATTTTTTGTATTTTTATTTTATTTATTTATTTATTTATTTATTTTATTATTATTTTTTTTTTTTTTGAGACGGAGTTTCGCTCGTTACCCAGGCTGGAGTGCAATGGCGCAATCTCGGCTCACTGCAACCTCCACCTCCTGGGTTCGGGCAATTCTCTGCCTCAGCCTCCTGAGTAGCTGGGATTACAGGCACGCACCACCATGCCCAGCTAATTTTTTGTATTTTTATTTTATTTATTTATTTATTTATTTTTATTTTTTTGAGACGGAGTTTCGCTCGTTACCCAGGCTGGAGTGCAATGGCGCAATCTCGGCTCACTGCAACCTCCACCTCCTGGGTTCAGGCAATTCTCCTGCCTCAGCCTCCCGAGTAGCTGGGATTACAGGCACGCGCCACCATGACCAGCTGATTTTTTGTATTTTTTTTAGTAGAGACGGGGTTTCACCTTGTTGACCAGGATGGTCTCGATCTCTTGACCTCGTGATCCACCCGCCTCGGCCTCCCAAAGTGCTGGGATTACAGGCTTGAGCCACCGCGCCCGCCCCTAATTTTTTGTATTTTTAGTAGAGACGGGGTTTCACCATGTTGACCAGGAAGGTCTGATCTCTTGACCTCATGATCCACCCACCTCAGCCTCCCAAAGTGCTGGGATTACAGGCTTGAGCCACTGCGCCTGGCCAGCAGTGCATTTTCATACACATATTCCAAGTACTTGTGTATTGGAATATGTGTATGAATATGTACATGCATTAAAAAACATATACTAAAAATAAATTTGAAATAGATGAGTTGAAAAAATATTTTCTTTTTTTTTTTAAACTAACTCTGAGGCATTTTGTTATAAAAAGTTAATACTCATATACATAAAGTAATAAGTACTTAAAACTTATGATACATTTACTTCATTTTTTATCTTGACCTTCTAGTAGATCTTTAGCTTCTTTGATTTTGGCGGCAATATAAGGAGATCTTCCTTTATCAGGATGATTTAAAAGCATAATTCATTGATGAGCATCTCTTATTTTCCCTTTATTGGCAGTAGGGCTTACACCTAGTATTAATGCTGCTTCCCGCTTTGTCATTTTGGGTTCAAACCCACCTCTGTAATAGCCACCACTGAAGGCGGATTTTGGTAGACTTTGAGAAACTTGTTTTACTTGAGGCTCCATATGCTTCATGGCTTGTAAAACATAACGGCCTGCAAATCCTGCAGCTGCAATGGTCAGTCCAACTGCTACCATTGTACTGGCCATGGCTGCTGCGGCTGGGTTCCCTTGCTTCCACTGGGAGCCCGGCTCATCCCAGCGCAGCTATCGCAGCGGACGCCTGGAGCAGAGAGCCGAAAAAATATTTTCTAACATTTTCTTGCATCCTAGGAAATAGTTCTGGGTACCCTACCTTGGAAACCACTTAAATTCAAAGTTGTCAATGAATAAGAGGAAGGAAATTCATGTTTCCAATAATATCTGTACCTCACAGAAACTCTGCGCACTTTCTAAAGGCCTGGCACCTTGTTAGGGGCTCCTATATGTTAGTTATGAATATTCAGAGCAACCCAGAGGCCTGAGGAGAGACCAGGGTTCATGAAGTTTATGGGGAATTCATGGGAGAAAGAAGAGGCAGGCATGAGGCCTGAGAGGGTGCAGTGCCATTCTCAGCCCAGGGTCCATGAAGTTTATGATGGAACATTTTACTTAGTTCTGGAAATATTTATTTCATAAAGCTTGACTGATATACTCAGGAAGAGGCTGTAACAAGCACCCTGGACCAACACATCACGTTTCTTAATTTTTGTCTGAAATTCTAACAACTCAGCATGGTATGGGACTGGTTATCTCAAGCTCATCAGAAGCTCTGATTAAAGATCATATTGTGTCTTTGGTTAATAAGAGATGAGGAAATAAATGTATATTGGTTTAATCAATATGGCCTGAAAGAGCATCTTTCCAAAACTGGAACCATATGGGAAGTCATGAATGGGGTTCTTGGCGGGGTGATTTTGTTACCTTTAATAGAGATTTGGTGAGCACTAACCGCTTGTGCATGCGTATCATGTACTCACATACATTATCTTTAGCCCTGGCAGTAGTTATATTAAAGGTAGGGATGCGCAGGTGGGCAAATTACAAATGAGGGGCCAGGCGCAGTGGCTCATGCCTGTGATCCCAGCACTTTGGGAAGCCAACGCAGGCAGATCGCTTGAGGTCAGGAGTTTGAGACCAGCCTAGCTGACACGGTAAAACCCTGATTCTACTAAAAATACAAAAGTTAGCGAGGCATGGTGGCCCACACCTGTAATCCCAGCTGCTGGAAAAACTGAGGCAGGAGAATCACTTGAACTTAGGAGGCAGAGGTTGCCCTGAGCTGAGATCACGCCACTGTACTCCAGCCTGAGTCACAGAGACCATGTCAAAAACAAAATTACAGGGCAGGGCGCAGTGGCTCATGCCTGTAATCCCAGCACTTTGGGAGGCCGAGGCGGGTGGATCACGAGGTCAAGAGATCGAGACCATCCTGGTCAACATGTTGAAACCCCGTCTCTACTAAAAATACAAAAAATTAGCTGGGCATGGTGGCGTGTGCCTGTAATCCCAGCTACTCAGGAGGCTGCGGCAGGAGAATTGCCTGAACCCAGGAGGCGGAGGTTGCGGTGAGCCGAGATCGCGCCATTCACTCCAGCCTGGGTAACAAGAGCGAAACTCTGTCTCAAAACAAAACAAAAAATTACAAATGAGGAGCTGGAAGTAGTTTTCCTAATATCATAAAACTAATAGGAGGTAAGCCTGTGATACAAACCTCAATTCTGTTGAACTCCAAAGCTCACTCCACAAAAGCAGTATACCCCAAGACTATACTGTATACTTTCATGTAGGAGACAGATACAGACAAATAGAAATATAGCAGAGCAGATATATCAGAACTGAAGACAAGGTTAATTTAGAGAAAGGAATGTGGAATGCTCAGCCCTCTAGCCCCAGGTGGTCAGTGGTGTCAGGCAAGGCAGGTGCTCAAGGTGAATCAGGAATGCTGGCTTAAAAGACTGTATGGTGAATCATAGCCTGAATTTTTAGGTAAAGAAACCAAAACACAGAGGGAGAAGCTACCCAGAGATTGTACCTTGGTCATTGATTTCTGCTGCTTCAATTCTTCTTACTGAATTGCTAATATCAACTAGCCAAGTGGTACACACAGCAGCTCTGTAAAATGTCACATAAAGTTAAGCTCAGGGGTTGACCTTAAGAGTCATGAAACCTGGGGCCAGGCACAGTGGCTCATGCCTGTAATCCCAGCACTTTGGGAGGCCAAGGCAGGTGGATCACAAGGTCAAGAGATCAAGACTATCCTGGCCAACCTGGTAAAACCCTGTCTCTACTAAAATATAAAAATTAGCTGGGTGCAGTGGTGTGCACCTGTAGTCCCAGCTACTCGGGAGGCTGAGGTGGGAGAGTCGCTTGAACCTGGGAAACAGAGGTTGCAGTAAGCCGAGATCACACCACTGTACTCCAGCCTGGTGACAGAGTGAGACTCCATCTAAAACAAAACAAAAGAGTCATGGAACTTGCAAAATCCTACAGGATTTGATGACTGTGAACCAAGTGGTCTGCTCTTGTGTGGACAGACCACAGAAAGCTTCCCACCCTACCCTGCAAATAATCAGCAGCTCTCTGTGCCACCTCCTCCTTACAGCCTCACTGAACCTTAAGATGGCACGCCTGGGCTGTGTTATGTTTCCTAAGGTTCAGTCTGTTTGAAAAGCTGGATGGATATTACTATGTTATAAACCTTCTGTCACTCAAGGCAGGAGAAAATGAGCAGGCCTTGCTGTAAGTGGGTGCATTGTCTTGTACTGTATACTTTTATATGTCTGTGCTTATGTTCTGTAGACGATGTACTGCACATGTCGAAAGGCCAGCCGCAGATAAGACTGCAAATTGTCTGAGCTCAAAGTTCTTGTCCCAAGCCATCACCTCCTCCTTCTGAAGAGTTGAGAGTTTGCTCATGGAACTATAGAAAGCTGGGTTTTAGAACCATGGCATGATAGAAAACTTGGGATCAAACTGACTGACTTAGAGCATTTTGGAACTCAGAGAATGTTAGTTTACTAAAATTACAGAATGTTCTCATCTTTGAAGATTAGAACTTAAGAATCTTAGTATGTGAGAACCCCTAGAATTAAGCTGGTCAACAAATACTTCCATAATGCCTATTATATGCCTCCAGTCACTATGTGAGACATGAACAAAATGACATCCAGAGAATGTCAGAATTTAAGAATCTTAAAATATGAGATTCTTAGAAAACTAAAGCATTGCCGTGTTGAAATCCTGGCTTGCCAAAGGTAGAGTGAAGCCTTGGATTATTCTCTCTAGCTCTCTCTACTTTTTTACAAGTCCTGGGGCCTGTTTCAGGCAGGTCGGAGTAAAATCTCGCTAAGAAGAACATCATTTCAGTTCGGTGACATCACAGAATGGCCACCTTATAGGAGTTCAGAGATCACCCAGTCCTCATGCTGCTTTTATCAGTGAGGCCACGGAGGCTCAGAGAGGGGCTTGTTAGATCACAGAGCCCAGTCAGGATTAGATCCCGGATTTCCAGGTGTGTCTTAAAAAATAGGCAGAACAGAAAAGGCTTTCCATGTATTTCCGAGCTTCCCTCTTTGCCAGCCTGCACTGAGGCGGCAGCTCTTCAGAAGGAGTTTGCAGCAACTTTCTCCGCGGAGGCATCAGCCCCGCCCCCGGCCCACGTGTGCAGTAGATCGCCCTGTGTTGGGAGCCCCCCTCCCGTTGATGCGTGTTTTATTTTGCTCCCTCCCCCTCCCCGTGTGCCTCAAAATCAATTTTCATTATTTTTTCTGTCTGTGTTTGTCTTTGTGGTTCGCAGGTGCTCCCTTGCATTGTTCATCTGCTTCATCAACCCCTATTGAGCAGTCCCCCTCCCCGCCCCCCGCCCCTCCGGCCAATGAGAGCCAGAGGCGGTTGCTAGGCAACGGTGTGGCCCAACCAACCCCGGACTCAGACTCTGAGGAAGAGTTTGTCCCTAATTCATTCTTAGTTAAAAGTGGCTCCGCCAGCCTGGGGGTCGCGGCGAACGGTAAGTCCCTCTCTCTTCCTACTTTTGCGTGTTTGTTTTTAAAAATGTCCTGTTGTTGCAGATGCTTGCTTGGGCCTTTTGCGGGGGCGGAGGGGCCTGGTGCTTGGTGGGCTCCGGGGTAGTCAGGGGCCTGGAGCGGCTCCGCGATCTCGGGTAGCCCCGCTCCTGCCCCGCGGCACCACTGGAGTGTGCAGGGGCTGGGGGGTTGCTTCTGTCCCCAACCCCCATGACAGACATCAGAGAGGCAGATGCAAGGACAAAGATGCACAGACAGACATTATGAGAAGGAAACATCAGGTGGAGGCCCAGACAGGTGAAGGTAGAGACAGAGATTAACGCAGGAAGGAAACAAAAAGTTTAAAACGTAGGTAACACAGACCAACTACCTCCTCTGTGCCAGGGACTGTGCCAGGCACTGTCACAACCCTGTCCAGGAGACTCAGTATTTTAGTGTCCCCATTCTCATTGGAAAAACTGAGAAATGTTAGCCCATTACCCATAGAACAGCGCTGGCTTTAAAAGTTCTCTACTTTCACAGAACCTGGATGCAGGCGGCCCTGAAGTCCCAGGCAGCTGCAGGGCTAAATGCTGGCTGCAGAGAGAGCCACTGGGTGTAAGCCTGGATCTGCAAGCTCTCTTTTCTGAGCTCTGCTCTGGCGTTCTTAAGGTGGGAGGCGGGGTGTGGTGAAAGAGCACCAGGGTGACCAGATCTTAGCCCCTGATCAGGTGCTGCTAGACTTGAGCCAAGGTGCTTGCCCTCTCTGTCCAGCAGAGGCCAGTCCACTTCTTTGCAAGGAAACCCCGCAAGGAATTCAAACCTCTAAGAGATGGGGCCTGGTGTACGTGAGGTAATAACCTAGGCTCACCTTAATAGCCCCAGGATTTCCTGATGCTAGGAGAAGGAGAGCAGAAATAAAACTGTTTCCCCACAAGTAACTGTGGGTTGTGTGCCAATTTGGCAAATATTTGTTTATAAGTGCCTATGTGGTACTAAATTCCAGGCCAGATTCTGAAAAAGGAGGCAGAGGTTCGAAGACAGTCTGTGGACTCTGGAATCAGACAGTTTTGAATTACATACAGGCTTTATTGCTGTGGGGCATTAGATAGATCACATGGCCTCCCCAAGCTTATTTCCTCAAGGGTAAAGTGGGCATTGTACTGCCCACCTCATGATGAGCACCCATCATAGTGCCTGGAACAGAGAAGGAGTGTGGTAAATGTGACTTATTACCTAGTCATCTCCACCTGCCTCTAGGGGATTTACAGGCAGCCTGTCTGTGAAAGCTCCCAGCACACTACCTGGCACTTGGGGATGCTCTAAGAAATGTCAGATACCATCTTTTCTCTTGGGAGTACATCATTACAGTGCAACGTGGCAAAGGAGGTAGGAACCTAGTATGTTCTGTGACCAGGGAGGGAGTCTCTCCTCCGTCCGAGAGGTTTAGGAAATGCCTCCTAGAGGAGGTGCTCACAGGACTCTAAGGAATTAGTGAGGTGTGCCAGACATTACCAAGGGTGCTGTGAGCAGAAAGAACACACAAAGAGTTTGAGGTGGGGACATGGGAAGCCTGCCCCAGCTCTTTTACACCTGGGAGTCTGGGCAGTAAATAGGTGTGAACCTTGGAAAGGTATGGAAGGCCATGTGGTGGAAGTCACCTGAGCTCTTTTAGGTACTAGGTTGAGGCCCTCCCCCCAACCAAATGACAATGAAGGGCAGTCATCACCCACCCTCCTTTTCCAGCCAGGACCTCCCTGCATCTGCTCTCTTTGAACATCAGAGAGATCTTTGTCCTTGATGATTCTCTTCTGACAGGATTTTACACCCTGCATTCTCCATGACCAGACCCAAGCCTTCCTCCAGGGTATTTTTCCTCAGTGCTCCCTGAGGTAGGGTTGTTTTTTTGGTGGTTCAGTGTCCTGCTCCTCTAGGCCTTTTATAGCTGCCTGTGTTTCAAATGATGCATAGAAACACAGGAGCCCTGGGTTGGGGGCAAGGAGACCTGGTTCTGGATCCAGCTCTGTGGCTCACTGGCTGTTTGTACTTGGCAAATCACTGTCTCCTTCTAAGCCTCAGTTTCCCCATTTTGCCAATGATGGAGCAATCTCTAAGGTACCCTAGTTTTAGGAGTGTCATGTGAAACTGACAGAGTTGTTCCTGCCAGTAGCCTTCTTAATAAGCTTATGGGGTGGGGGGAAATATATATATTTGTGTATGTATATGTGTATGTGTGTATATATGTGTGTGATGATGTTTTTTGTTCATTTCTGAATGACTAAGCCTTACAAGTAGAAGAGAAGGCAAGAGATTAAAGTCCTTAATCTCTTCCTTTGCAAATTAACTGAACAAGAGCAATTACTTTGTTGCAAGTTCTAAGGCAAACTGATGGCATTATTGCATTATTGATGTGCAGGGAAGGAGATGGGGGACTTTTGCCTGCAGCTGTCTGCTCAGTGGTGCTACTCCTTGCTCCTGCACCCCAGGGGACCTTGTTACTTTGGATTACTTCCCCAGGCCCTTGCTCTGAGTGTCATTATAAAAGTTGGTAATAAGCATGTCCCATGTCTGATGAGAGAGTCTGGGTCCTTACTGGTCTGCTGCTCTGGAGTTGGGATTGTGAGAAAGCTCAGTGAGTCTCTGCCGGGGCTGGACCCTGCCTACTGCCTTCCTGTCTCCTGAAACCCAAAATCTTCTATGAGCTGGTACTGGTGTGGACCCAGCACTAGTGCGTGAAGATGAGAGGTTCTTGGTACATAGTGGGACTAATACATGTTTTCATGGAAAAAAATGCGAAATTATTTTAATGGAATGATCTTTATTGTTTTTGCCAGTTATAAAAGTAGCAGTGTTTGTTTATTAACATTCAAATAATATGGAAAGGTAAAATGTTAAGTTCCCTTATAATCCTTCCTCCCAAAGATAACTGCTTTTAACAGTTTGGTGCGTGGTCTTTCAGAGACTTTTACTTTAGTATTAATTTAATGAGTGAGTGAATTAATAAATGAGCAGGCAATGCTTAAGGACCACAGTGGAGCAGAGAGAGCGATGGCTATAGAAACAAGCCTGAAACTGGATCCACATGTGCAACTGTAGGCAATGTTTCCAGCCTCTGGATCATCAGTTGCTCCATCTGTGAAATGGGAGAGAACCTTCCAAGGTTGTTCTGGTGTTTAAAAAAGATAAAGCTGGCCGGGCACGGAGGCTCACGCCTATAATCCCAGCACTTTGGGAGACCGAGGCGGGTGGATCACAAGGTCAAGAGATCGAGACCATCCTGGTCAACAAGGTGAAACCCTGTGTCTGCTAAAAATACAAAAATTAGCTGGGCATGGTGGTGCATGCCTGTAGTCCCAGCTACTCGGAGACTGAGTAGCTAAGGCAGGAGAATTGCTTGAACCCAGGAGGCAGAGGTTGTGATGAGCCGAGATCATGCCATTGCACTCCAGTCTGGGTAACAACAGCGAAACTCCGTCTCAAAAAAAAAAAAGATCAAGCTGATAAAATTTTTCTGTCTCGTCCCTATTTCCCGTACCCCCATCTCCTTCCACCAATTTAAGACTTTAGAAGACCTCCTTCAACAGAGCAATTGTTTTAGGGCAGGCTTCCTCTGAGACTGCTTTCAGATTGTATTTTAAATGGCAAAAGGTGCCTCTATGGCCCTTAAAGGGTGGAAATGAGATAGTTTCCTGTTGTGGGAGCTGAGGCTTTCGGAGCCAGCCTTCCCAGGAGCTTTCGCTGGACTCTCCAGCATCACCCCGAAAGGCCGTCTGCCCACAGCTGTGTCAACTCCAGCCTGAGCTGCCATCCCAGGTCTGCTAGGCCTCAGAGCTGCCCTGCTAAAATCCCCATGTTAAGTGCAAAGAGGAACGTGGGGTATCACAGAACAGCTCATTGTCCCTGCAGAGAAGAAAACAGGGGAAGTAGCTTTTTCTCTGATCAAAATCCTAATCCTTCCCCAAGGGTAATCATCCAGAAATCACTGATATATATAAAGAAAGATTTCACTAAAATATCAACTAGTCACAGTTGGAAAAGCAAAGGAAGTGGTTAGGATGAAGTAGGTCCCTACCCCATAGAAACTTTTCAGAATAAATATTAAATGTTTCATGAATTGTTCTCATCTGAATGCTAAAGCAAAGGGGCTTTAAAAACTTGGGGGTTGGCGCCAGGCGTGGTGGCTCACGCCTGCAATCCCAGCACTTTGGGAGGCCAAGGGGGGTGGATCACGAGGTCAGGAGATTGAGACTATCCTGGTCATGGAGAAACTCCGTCTCTACTAAACTACAAAAAATTAGCTGGGCATGGTGGTGCATGCCTGTAGTCCCAGCTACTCAGGAGGCTGAGGCAGGGGAATCACTTGAACCCAGGAGACAGAGGTTGCAGTGAGCCGAGGTAATGCCACTGTACTCCAGCCTGGCAACAGAACAAGACTCTGTCTCAAATAAAAACAAAAAAACAAAAACTTGGGGGTTAATATTTAAGAGGGTCAGGGAATAAATAGCTCAGAGAAGGCTGTCAGTTTCTCAAAGCTTAGGTGAGGTAAGGGGTGGGTAGGAGAATTTATATTTAATAAGATCTTTCTATGTGCTCCAAGTCTTTTTTATAAAATATGCTTTACCGTATTTGAATCAATTTATGTCCCTTTCACTGTTTAGGAAACTGAGGCCCAATAAGGGGAAGTGGCTTGCCCACTGGCCATTGGTCTTATAAGGAGCATGGAAGAGATTCAGACCCAAGCCTGTTTGACTCCAGAGCCCCAATTGTTTTTCCTTCTGCTGCTTTTTTGTTCGTTTTCAAATAATTAGGTCCTGTTATTTCTGTCTTCTCCTTAGTAGGAATTTGAAGAAGATGAAAGGAATTGGCCAAGATGGTAAAACCTTACTCTACTAAATATTACAAAAATATTAGCAGGGCACTGTGGCAGGCGCCTGTAATCCCAGCTACTTGGGAGGCTGAGGCAGGAGAATTGCTTGAACCCAGGAGGCAGAGGTTGCAGTGAGCC